AAGGAAAAAGAAAAAAGAAAAAAGAAAAAAAGAAGGAAAGAAAACTTACCAAATCGAGGCTGCTGAGCATGGTCCCTTGCAAAGGCTGGTAGCAGTCTGTGTGAGAAGGCAGTCAAGGAAAGCTGCGTTGTCCTTTCTTCCTAAGTCTAGTGGGTGACAATCTTTAAGCTCCAAGAACGAAGAAACTCCAACCGAGTGAGCTAGTTTTCAAAAAGCACCTCTGGAGTTCAGGAGCTTTGTCCATGGTCAAAGCAGCAGCAGCAGTAGCTGATGCAAAAAGACCAACAACAAAAAAAGGGGGGGGCATCCAAAAAAAGGGGGGGGCATCCGCTTGAGTCAGTTTCCTGGGGCGTTCCGGCTCTGCCTGTGTGGGTTTCCCTGTGGTGGGTTATGCATCGGCTCAGGAGGATCGAGAAAACAAGAGCGCAGCTGCCCACACTCAACGGGGAGGTTAGCCTGCCGCGAGACGGAACGAAAGAGCCGGATTTCAAACAAGTTGAGGAACAACCACCAACGATCCCGTTCATTTATTCATTTCGGCGCTGTGGTTTAACATTTTAAAAGTTATAAAATAAGATACAAAATACAAAAGTAAATCGGAAAACAGCGGGGAGGAAGACGGGGAAGAGAAGTGAGGAAGGGTAAGAAAAAGAAGAAGAAGAAACGTTGACTTCCGACTCTTTCAGTTGCAGTAACCTGAGGCATTAACATCGAATCACAACTTTTTTTTTTTTTTTTTTCATAATAATACAAACAAGCCATTTCTATAAGGAGCTTCAATCTAATTGGTAAAACCCCAAATCCAAGTTTCATTTTTTTTCCATGTCAAGCACGAAGTTCAAAAGCGGTTTCCATGTGAAAACAACAGTACTTATGTTCTTTTCTTTAATCAGAATAGTCGATTTTGCCATTTCAACCAATTCCATCAGCTTCTGCAACCATGGTTGGAATCAAAGTGTCCTTCCTTTTTTCCCCATACAATATCTTTATTTTTTACAAGTTATTTAGTTTAGTTTAGTTTACTTTATTGTCATTGCACCTCGTACAACGAAATCAAACACCCTCTTCAGTGCACATCATGACCACGACCATGAAAATAAACACAAACACACATCCTTCACCCTTCACACATTGAACCGGAAAATATTGCCTTCAATATTTTTACAAATAACTCAAGGCGACAAACGTATCCAACTGACCTTCCTCCTCCTGTTTTCTCCACAATAACAGTCCTGTGAGGTGGGTTAGGCTGAGAAAGAGGGATTGCCCCAAAATTACCCAGCCAGCTTTCATGGCTAGGATGGAGCTAGAATTAACCATCTCCTGGTGATTGGCCTAATGTCGCCCATCGATTTTACATGTCTAAAATGGGACTAGAACTCCCATTCTCCTGGATTCTAGCCTGGTGTCTTAACCACTAAACCAAACTGACTGCCTGACTTTTGCCGGTATAGTGTTGGGAACAAACTTGTGGCTTTCTCACTGGTGCTGAACAACAAATCCCAGGATTTCTCACCACTGGCCATATTAACTTAATCTGCTGGGAGTTGTCAAAAACATCTGGATAGTTACAGCCTAGTGACTGTATAATCACACCTCTCCGACTGCTTAAAGATACCCCGTTGTTACACGGAATCAGTGAGGGGATGTATTCTTTCAGCGAGCACATACAGTCTGAAAAGCTTTTTATCAGATTTATGAAAATGAGCCATTCATGATTAGATGCTGTAGTGGATAAGTAGATGCTCCAGTGAATTATAAACACAGCACAAAAAATCATCGGTTGCTCTCTCTTTTTTTTTTTTGGAAGAGATTGCGAAGACCAGACTCCTCTCTAGAGCAATAAAAATTTCCACAGACCGTTCTCATCCTGGTCATTCATATTTCAAACTGTTACCATCAGGGAGACGTTATAGGTGTTTTAAAATGAGGACTAATAGACTGAGAAACAGTTTCTTTTCCGAGGCAATAATTGTCTTGAATCAAACAGTGCATTTGTGATTTAGTTTTATGTATATAGTGGCATTTCTAAACTATTTAACTTACTAAATGTTTTAGATAGGTCTTAGACTAGGTTTTTAATTATTATTATTATTATTTTAATTTTTAAATACTCTAGTGTGATTGTGATGTGGTGTTTGGGGCACTGTGCTGGAGTAGCTTTCAAATTTCATTGTATTCATGGAATGCAATGACAATAAAGGTATTCTCTCTATTCTCTCTAAAGCGGTCCATGATTCTTGTGGCTAATTTGGGTCATGCCTCATGAGCACTGGCTGAGAACAATTGTGATGACCCAAGTAGGAATCCCTTTATTAGCTCCATCTTTGCCCCCAGTGTCCTGTTTACCTTCTGGGCTGGAGAAAAACTCTCCCAGGAACAGCCTTTGACTGCAGAGATTCAAAATATTGCCAACAAAAACTTTAACTATAAATCCAATCAAGGCAAGATGAGGTAATTAATCCAGCAGGGCAAGAGAAGGAATTCCAGACATGAAGGAATGGCAGTAAATCAACCCAGTTGGGAGGATTCCAGGAACACAGATAACCAAAGTCAACACAAGATAAAGTCACGTTTGTTCCCAGAAAACACCGCTCTCAGCTTCCTCTCCTTTAAACTCTTTTCCCAGGTGTGCCTAATGAAGGGAATCAGGGCCCTTTCCTCCCCCATAAGCCACGCAACCCATGTTGCTCTCTTCGTTCTTCCTCTGAGCACCCTCTCCCTTGTTCCACCTCTCCCCCGCTCCGCCCAGCCAGACTTTGCCCTTTCCCAGTTTCCTCCATAGCCAACAGAGCCACACTCCCACTCCCTGTCAACTGTTCATCTTCCTCCTCAGATTCGGACTCCGACAGGGACATGACAACAATTTTCCAGAGTCTTAGGTTGATGTCTCCATGTGATGTATCCTGCAGTTCCATTGGGTCATTTTCCTGCAAACATGAATCTGGAAAATTGTACCAGAATATTGTATTTGCATTGTTGTTAGTCTTCTCCTTGGGCTGTTATGATTCAGCAGAGATTTTAATATATATTCAGTTTAGAAGAAGAAGATGTATAAAGATTGAAGATCAAGAAAGAAAACGTTGAGGGCCTTTGGGCTCCTGACAATCACAGAAGGTTGTGAGAAGCCTTTTTGGAACAAATGCAAGGTCCTGCCCCCTGAGTAACCCAACAGTTCCTGTAATTTTATTTGATTAATTTTGCATTACAAGGCGGCAGAGGAAAACGTCTGGTTTAAAAGAGTATATTTAATATGAACAGTTAAGATAAAAAATATTTGGGGGGGTTACATCAAAAACTGAAACATAATGATGGTTATTGAAACTAATGATTTTGTCAGCTGTGAAGCATCTGGAATGGCAAGACAGCTGTCAACCTTCCACTGAACATCAGTTAGCAATCACTGTTGGAAAACAAGCTGTGGGGTCCTTGGTGCCCTCTGAGCTCAGTTGTTTTCTTGCAGATACTTCATGACCCAACTAGATAATATCACTGTTACCTAATTCATACCTACCTACATCCAGCACTGATGATGTTCCTTAGTTGGGTCATGAAATGTCCGCAGGAAAACAGCCAAGCTCAGAGAGCATCAAAACGTTCTCGTCATTAAAAACATAATGTGTCTTCTATACACTGCAGGACCCAAACAGAAGCCTGTAGCTGCTGATCTGATTGCTCTAAGAAGCAGAATGTTAGATATTTACATAGCTAGACGAATGTGCCTGACTCTCACCAGTTATATGGGTGAAACACACAGGGGTGGGATGCTACCGGTTCTGTCCGGCTCTACAGAACCAGTAGCTCTGAAGAGCAGCAGACACCGAACTGTTTCTGTGTTTGCTGCTGTTTGGTCCACCCTCCCACCCAGGCTCTTACCTGTCCTTTATTTCCTGCTTTTTCAACCTCAGCTGCTTTGCGCGACACAGCTGAGGTTGAAAAAGCAGGAAAAAAGTGGCTTTTCAAATGCTGTGTTGGGCAGCACAGCTTAAGTTTTTTTTACACACATGCACAAAACGTAGTCACCAAACCGGTAGTAACACCGGTTGAATCCCACCCCTGGAAACACAGCTATATGCACGAATGAGAAACTGTAAATGATATACAATATTTTGTGCTTAGTGGAAAGACACAAACTTCTCTTTATGCAGCAACATAAGATGTGACAAAGTTGTGGGTGAAGGTCAGACTTCTTTCACTTCTTGCTATATTGGCAAGAACTGTGTATGTTGTAGGCAAAATAATTAAGCAACAACATAATAAAACATAGCATTGGTGAAGCAATGATAAAAAAAAATATTGACTTCTAAAGCCACAGTAATGTATCTGTCTAAAGTAATGTATCTGTCTATACTCGAATACAGTTCATCAGTCTGGAACCCACATTACGTATCTGATATTAGCACAATTGAGAAAGTCCAGAAATATTTCACAAGAAGAGTTCTCCACTCCTCTACTCGTTGTAGAATACCTTATGCCACCAGACTTGAAATTCTAGAACTAGAAAACCTTGAATTACGCCGTCTTCGGTCTGATTTAAGCATGGTATATAAAATCATACATTGCAATGTCCTACCTGTCAATGAATACTTCAGCTTCAACCATAACAACACAAGAGCACACAATAGATACAAATTCAAAGTTAACCGCACCAAACTTGATTGCAGGAAATACGACTTCAGCAATAGAGTGGTCAATGTCTGGAATACTCTACCCGACTCTGTAGTTTCTTCCCCAAACCCCAAAAACTTTAACCTTAGACTGTCTACTATTGACCTCACCCCTTTCCTAAGAGGCCTGTAGGGGGCGTGCATAAGCGCACCAACGTGCCTACCGTCCCTGTCCTATTGTTTCTCTTATTCTTCTTTTATTTTTCTTATATGTACCCATTTCATGTATTCACAACTATGTATACACTTATACTTATTATCTTGTAAACAATTGGCAAATAAAATAAATAAATAAAATAAAATAAAAATAAAGCAGCTATCAGACTTTCCATGTAAATATAAGTGGAGATGAGTTTTGCATAACTTGTTTATTTTTTCTTTGTTGAGGAGGTCAAAAAGTATACCAGCAATAACGTGGGCAGGCTATGTGCTTGAACTGAATTTGTCAGCGTTATGAAAGACAATACAATGCAATACAACATTACAGTATATTCTCTTGAACTTTTGGGTTGCAGGCAATAAGAAGCAGTGCCTCGTTATTTTATATTTCTAGTACAAATAATCAAAACT